GTGAGGCCCCACTGAGTCTCAGGCTGCTGGAACAGGTGACAGGAGAAGTATGGAGGAGGCTCTGCTGTGTGCCTGGTCAGCCTGGGACCAGCTTCCTGCCATGCCTCAGGCTGCTTCCTGCAGTTTTCTAACCCTGACAGCCTCCACGTGCTTCTGACAGCTTTGCTCTCCAACAGAGCCCAAATGGTCTTGAGAGGAAAGACAGGCTTCCTGTCCACAGACACCCCACGGTCCCTGGGTCTGTAACCTGCAGCTTGCAGCAGGCGTCTCAGGAACTGAGCTAGAGTAGAATTCCGGGCAAGAATGAGCATCCCATTGAGAAGCCTCTGGGAGCAAGCATCCGGGCAAGAATGAGCAGCCCATTGGGAAGCCTCTGGGAGCAAGCATCAGAGCTCTCCGTGGCTGAGAAGCATCCTCTTCAGACTTGCATCCTTGGAACATGTCAGGTGACTGGGAGCAGTTCCTAAGCTTGGACTTCACTGAGAACCGCTTCCATCCCATCTGCTGGACTCTCAGAAGGTGAATTGGTACTGGCAGGGCCTCTTCGTCTGGTGTTGGTCTGTAGATGTGGGAACAGATTCTTCTTCCAGCCAAGATGGAATATGTGGGATATGACTTGTCCCCTCAAAAATAAGGAAGCAGTTAAAAAACAGAGAAAGATAGGAGATCCACTGGAAGTCAGCCAAGGAAGGGTAGGGAGCCCCAGGGGGAAAACCATCACAGTGAGGAGCCTCCAGGCTGCAGTGCTAGGAAGGGAACCCCAGCAAGCCTGGGACTCTTCTGAGGTGAGGAGATGAAGCTGGGAGCCTGGGGAAAGGTAAAGAATAAGCCCCATAGCATGGTGGCACACATTTTTAGTCCCAGCACGAGGGAGGCAGGGGCCAGCCTGGTCCACAGAGTGAGTTCCAGGACAGCCAGGGCTACACAGAGAAGCCCCGTCTCAAACAACTAAAAAGAAAAGTCAGAGTCTCAGAGTCAGTCAGTTGAGCCAAGGTCAGTATGTCCAGGCCAAGACAGAGCCACAGGTATGCTGGGTGGAGACACCCAGCTGGAGCCCTCGAAATACACTGGGTACTGGCAGAGTTCCCCTAGTAGTTCAGAATAATTAAACTGAACTTAAACCACACCCAAGAAGTCCTGAAAGGAAAACCCAGATGGAAGACACCTTCTCTCAGCAAGTAACCTTCAAGAACATTTCAGCGGAAACAACATAAAGACCTCAACAGGGCACACAATTCATAGCGTCTGGAGTCTGATGAAAGATCGGGAAGGGCCAAGGGCGCAGCTCAGCAGAATGTTAGCACTCTGGAGACCCTGTTGTCTACCACCACACTACTGAATAACTCAGAAAGCAAGCAAAGGATGCAGGAAAATACAACCTGTAATGAGAAAATGATCAGCTGAGCAGTGGTAGTGAACGTGGTTAAGACCAGCACTTGGGAGGCAGAGGCAGGTGGATCTCCGTGTTCAAGGCCAGCCTGGTCTACAGCACGAGTTCCAGGACAGCCAGGGCTACACAGAGGAACCTTGTCAGGGAGAGAGAGGGAGGGAGGGAAGGAGGGAGAGAGAGAGAGTCAAATTCACTGGAGAGAGGCGAGACAAGAGCATGGGGCAGCTGTAACTGGACTCTATGCTCACTAGGAAATCTTAAGGGACAGACAGAGTCCTAAGAAGTGCTACAAAGTCTCTCAGGTCAAACTCGCAGGGGGGACCCAGTATGTGTGAGGCCTTGGATACCACACTCACCTGCAAAACAATCCAGCAGTTGGCAGGGATGAAACTGAGCCATCTAAAGTTAAAAACCTCCCTGAGGAGTGTAGGGACATTGAAAAAGAGAAGCTGTGCCAACCAGGAGACGGCCTTCAGATCATGCCAGGACTCAAGAAAGGTGAGAGACAAGCAGAACACGCAGGCAGCCACACCCCCAGAAGGGGGGACAGCAAGTGGGAAAGGAGACAACGGCCACGTTTTGTGCAGGCGCGCAATGTGTTGAGGTTGTGGGCGTGCCGCGGTGTGAGTGTGGAGGTCAGGGGCAAGTTTTAAAAGTCCGTCCTCTCTTTCCGTCGTGGGATCCAAGGGTTGTCAGGCTTGCGTAGCAAATGTTTTCACCCACTGCCAGCCTTGCTTGATTTTTAGACAGGGCTTCAGATTGCCCAGGCTTTCTTTGAACTCCTGATTCTCTTGCCTTCACCTACCAAATGCTGAGATTCAAACTATTTATTTTGGTTTTGATTTTGGTTTTTCAAAGCAAGGTTCCTCTGTGTGTAGTCCTGGCTGTCCTGGAACTAACTCAGTAGACCAGGCTGGCCTGGAAATCACAGAGATCCACCTGCCTCTACCTCCTGAGTGCTGGGATTAATGGTGTGTATCGTCACCACCGAACTTTAATTAGGGCAAACTTTAAAAAAAAAATTAATGGAAATAAAAATTCACACCAGGAGTCCCAATCATAAAAACAAGAAGAAGCCAAGCATGATGGGGGCATTCCTGAGATCCCAGCACCCAGTAATCCAGGCCGGCTTGGGCTACATAGTCCTTACTTCAAAACAGAGTGTTAGAGGTACAGCTCAATGGGTAGCATGCTTGCCTAGCATGCATGTAGTTCTGGTTTCAATGTTTGGCACCCCACACACTGGACTGGTGTGCACATGTAACCCTAGCGCTCTGGAGGTGGAGGCAGGAGCATGAGGAGTTGAAACCGTCCTTGGCAATATAACCAGTTCAAAGCTAGCCCAGGATATATGAAACCTTGTCTCAAAAAAATGAAAGAAACAAATTGGAAAAGACTCTTAGAGGAGGTCATGCAAAATGGAGGGTCTTCCAAGTTTACCCAAGAATGCCAGCCCAGCTGTGGCTCTCCCTACCCAGGGTTGGCAACACTGCCTCCTTGGCTAGACTGCAAGAGAAATGTCTATCAGGATCTCTGGTCTGAATCTCCTTCCTGCTGAGCCAATGGATGTGCATACTATTTCTACCTAATCCACCATTTTGGGACCAGTGGGAACCTCCCCACAGAAAAGCCACAAGGTACCATAGAACAGCCCACTTTGCTCAGACCATTTCTCAGGTCTCAAGGCCCAACCACCACGTATCTTCCTGTAATGCCCAGTTAACCACCAGCTCTGACGCCGGCTTCTACCCAGCTCTGTCTGGCCTCCTCCAAGCCCTGGGGCTCTCCAAATCTCTCAGGATTCTTGTAACCCCCTTTATTTCTCTTAAAGCTGGCAGCCTGACAGACACTAGTTATTCCTGCTGCTAAATTATTTATCTCTTCCCCTTTAAGGTACTCTTGGGGCCCACCCAGCCCAAGCCCATTTTTTTCCCTACTTAAAATGAAGTCATTTTTAAAATCTTTTGTCTTTAATTTTTTATCACCCAAACCAGGAGCATGGTCTTTAAGTTTGTCCAGGGATCAGAACCTGCTGTTCACTTAAGCTCCACCTGGACAGGGACCCTGCACACTGTCCCTAGAACCACACTGGCTGTTGGCCACCTTGGACCACTAGTGACAGGAACTCGACTGCCCGGGATGGAGGGCCAGGGTCAGGGAGGAGGCCCAAGCGACCAGTATTTTGAGTCTCCTCCCCGTCAGTAGGGACCCATCATTCAGCATGCAGCCCAGCTCAACACATCTGGGATTGAGGCCAGGTATCTGCATGGAGCCAGCATCCTCATCCTCCACCAGGAATGAGAAGAGGCTGAGAACTCGATTCAGAGACCCAAACCCAGGTTGTGCCAGAGGGCCCCAGTTTGCCACGTGTACTGGACACATTCAGCAGGGCCTTGCCAGGTCCTCCTCAGATGACCTACCCGGGCAGCTGGTCCTTCTTCAGGGGGTGTCTCAAAAGCTGAACGGGCCCTCATTGGCTGTTTCCAGATCCTGAGGGTGTAGGCCTTGGGCCCAATGTAGGACTTGGGCTTGAGTCTAAAGCATGTATCCAGACGGGCTGCACCTACATTGGAAATCCCACAGGGTTCTCACGGGCCCTGTGGGCAGCAGAGGCCTCCATCTCTCAGACACAGGAGGCCGGAGCAGAGCACAGGGGGTTCCAGAGTGAGACCTTTTCCCTACCTTTGTCTTCATCTGTCTCCCCTTTTTTCCCCACTCTGGAGTCTCCCAGGTGATACTGGCCTTTGTTTTTTGAAGGATCACGTGGGTGCCTCAGCCGTGTGTATGTGTGTGTGTGTGTGTGTGTGTGTGTGTGTGTGTGTGTGTGTGTGAGTGTGTGTAGAGCAGAGGATAACTTTGGATGCCGTCCTCAGGAACACTGTCCACCTCCTCTGAGACAAGGTCTCTCTCTGGCCTGGAGTTCTCCAATTAGGCTAGCCTGGATGGCCATTGAGCCCCAGGGATCCTCTTGTCTCCACCTCACCAGTGCTGGGGTTTCAAAAACATGTCACCATATCTGATACTTTTACATGGCTCCTGGGATTTAACCTGGGTCCTTGTGCTTGCAAAGCTAGGGCTTAACTAACCCAGCCACCTCCACAGCCCCTTGAGTCACTCCTTTCTGAAAAATCGATGTGTCTCTTGGCAACATCCAAGCAGGTCCAGATCTCAGTTGTTCTCAGACCAACTCCTAACTCCTCCATCTTGTGGTAGGCTGGGTTATGAGAGCCTCTCGCATTCCAAAAGCCATACCTTGGTTCTGAGGAGGCAAGACTGACCAGGGTCATGAGGTGGTTGTTACACCACTGCCCGGCAATTCTGAGATTACCAAGGCATCAGACAGAACTCTATCTGTGGGACCTAGAGGGCAGAGAGCCAGGAATGGGCTGCTTGGTGCAACTCTCCAGGCGTTGGGAATGTGAGCATACAGCGTTGGAAGACAGAGGCGAACCTTAGAGAAGGCACGCCACACAAACAGGCAGGCACTACAGGCTCTGCTGTCCTGAGGCCCAGCATCTGCCCCAGAACGACAGGCCTTAGTTCAGGTGAAATCAACACCCAAAGGGAACTGGGTAGAATACTAAGGGGTTCTTCCTTCTTCTCCCCGCAGGCCTGATGGGACTGCAGAAGAGCCATCAACCTCTGCATACCTAGGTAGGCGTTTTGGTGTAGACCACTAAGAAGCCCCCTCACTGTGTTTCAAAGGCAGAGGCAAACAGTGTCTGGGGGGCAGACACTGCTTCCTGCCAATACAGGCCTCTGGGTGGTGGTGGTGGTCCAGGGAAGGTCACACATGCCCAAGCATCCCAGAGGTTGACGGAGGTGTGTGAACCGTGGGTAGGGGGTACACCACAAGCCACTTCTGGGCCTTGAGCTTTGAGGCAGCCAGGAAGATTGACAGGTAAGAAGAATGTACCAGAAAGGGAGGAGCTGAGCAGGGTAGGAACAGAAGTCTTGAGTGACCAAGTGAGGTGGGGGTGGGAGTCGTGGGTCCTGCTGACTGTCGCAGGGGAGTAGCTGCCAAGGCAGTGAAAGATATGGGGAACTCAAAGTGGCCATGAGTTTCAGACTCTCAGACACTCATGTGCCCTAGCACAGAGTCCCTGCCTGTTGGTCTACCCGACACCCCATTTGGTTAGTAAGAGAAATGTGTGTGCTCTAGGGTCTCAGCCAGCAGAGCCCCAGGCTTGAGAAAAAGGGTCATTGGTCCAGGGCTTATTCATAGCTGAGATGGTCCTAGGGACCGGGCAGTGCCAAATCCCCTTTTGTAAAGTTGTCCTCAGCCTTGGGGAACCAGTCAAGCCTGGGCCCTCCTCTCCATGCCAGAGAGCCAAGCCAGAGAAGCCAAGGCCTTTAATTCATCGGAACACAGGACAGAAATGACTTCTCTAGATGAAGTTCCATCCCCTAAAAGTGCCCAGGCTTTGGGTAGCTGACATTGGTGCTTGTCTGCCTGGCCCCCAAATTTACCCTTGCTCCAGCATCTCTGGGATCCTGGTGGGAGCCCAATAGGCTGTGTGATACAGACCCATCTCACATAGGCTCATGGGAAGCCTAAGAAATCAGCCACTTACAGCTCTGGCAGGGCCTTGAGGTCAGGGTAAGCCTGGGCTTGCAGCTCTGCTAGGGGGCTTTACTAAAAAAGAGTCTCCAGCCCCAGGCAGTGGTGATGCAAGCCTTTAGTCCCAGCACTCTGGAGACAGAGGCAGATAGAGCTCTGTGAGTTCAAGGCCAGCCTGGTCTAGAGGGAGTTCCAAGACAGACTCACACTGCTGAGCCTGAAGGTTGACCCTGGGGGAAGGGCCCCTCCCATGCCCTCTGCCCCATGTCCCCCTCTCCAAACAGTGAGAAGAATCTTTTAGTTCCACAGCCTCTGCCAACAGAACCCCAGGCCTGATTTGCAGTTTCGTGGTAACTCTAGGGACTGAGGGCACCACACCCAGTAAGGCCAGGTGAGAGCCAAGCCCCTCACTCAGCAAGTGCTGGCCGGGGGGACAGCAGGCTCCAAGCCCACAACTGTACAATGTGGTATCAGGGCCAGGCCTTCAGTGCACACACCAGCCAGCACCTCTCATGCCAGTCTTCTGCATCCAATGGGGACAGGCCCCAGGAACAGGGTCAGATCAGGCCTGTGGCCTGGTTCTGCGGCCATGGCCGTGAGCTCACACTGGCTTTCCAGGCCAGCACCCTTGGCGGAGCCTGGTGCAGCTGCATGTCCCTGGGAACGCCTAGAGATGGGCTGATTGGGAACACTGTGGTGTCGTCGCTATGCAGGGCTTTTCTTCCAGCTGCCGGAGAGCCTGGCCGGCTGCCGGTGCTTTACTGGTAGAATGCATGTCCCCCTCCCCAAGTACCCCAGCCCCAGCTCATGGGCCTCCTAGAGCCAGTTTCTCTGAAGAAGCTGACCCAAGGCCAAGCGAATTCCTCCAGCTCCCAGGCCCATTCTTATCCTGTCCAGGAAGGCACAGCCCTCAGCTTAGCCAGAATGGAGGGTAACCACTTGCTCAGTGGCTGGAATGTCGCTCGGCTGGGCTCTGCTGCACTCGCTTGGTGGTGGGAGCCTGCTCCAGCCCAGTTTCAGCTGCGGCCACATTCCTGGTGTGAGCCTGGGCCAGCCAAGGAGCTTTTTCCACACTCTGGTGCCAGCCCCAGCGGGCTCAGGGGAGGGAGAGAGGGCCGTTTCTATGGCAACTTCCCTTTTTGTTATTTCTTATTTTCTTTTTTATGGTTTCTCCAACTTTGAAGCTCTCCAGACAGTTTACAGACTGTGGAA